AAGGGAATTTCCTTTAGGTCTCTATCTGAAAGGGAATTTCCTTTAGGTCTCTATCTGAAAGGGAATTTCCTTTAGGTCTCTATCTGAAAGGGAATGGGCTCAAAGAAGAAGACATTTGCTGGTCTCCTGCTCCTTGGAGCTGCTCATTCTGAGCACATGGTTGAAAACTTCAGTTAGGGGCCTTTGAGAGAGATGGTCTTCATGAGTAGACAGGACCTTCCCATGAGATCTAATTTCATCTATGTCCCTTTCTCTACTCTGTGAGCCCAGAAATGAATCAACACCTGCTCAGAATCACATAGACTCGACCTCTGTGACTCGGGACAGGTGAGGGTGCGGTGCACCAAACGTGAATGACCGGGTCCTGCACCACGCCCCACAGTGGGGGGGGGGGGGGATAGGCGCCAGATCTGCAGCTAGTAGCTGAGTACTGTGGGTTTGGTTCCGTTTTCTAGCTCTTCCTGGCCCTGCTTTAGGACACTAACTAGTAATGCCCAGCGCCCACAGCAGAGCACACCTGGAGGGGACAAGAGGCCCAGGGAACCTTACATGTGGCAAGGGACTAACCTTTCTGGAAGTCCAACTCTACATACTTTGATATCTGAGAGGAGTTACTTACATCAGGTCATCTGGTATCGTGCGGTTCGGTAAAACTGGTCATCATGGACATGTTCTCTGTGCGAATATGGTAGCCATTCGCTGCGTGTGGCTATTGAGTCCTTGAAATGTGGCCGATGTGACTAAAACTGAGAATTTAAAAGTTTTATTGACTTACAGGAGGAGGTGTGTCTATGGGATACTGGATGGTTCTACAGATGTTATGCATTTCAAAGTGTTACCACCAACAAGTAACCTGAAGAGTCTTGCTTCTGTCGTACTTTCTCCAATTAAAACATCAGGTCAAAAGCAGACTACACATTTTTTATTTCAGACTGTTCTCATCAGAGGCAACTGAGTCACCCAGTTCAGGGGCCGCAGGGAGGTTGAAACTCACAGGAATTATGCAGGCAAAAACTTCCATCACAAGACTTAACCTGGCCTGCAGTCCTGAATTCCTGTCTGTCCTGAAGGTGTAACACCTCTCGGGGGACTGAAATGCTAACAGATTTCCCACAGAGGAAAGAGGTTGAAGGGCTGGGAATTGCGGTGCTTGGTCTACGTGCTGAGCTCTACTACCAATGTCTCAGCTTTATGACATTGGACGCGTCACTTAATCTCTCTGAGCCGGTTCCCTTGTTTGTAAAACCATGAGGAGGAGGATTTCTATTTTCTTGGGAGGACAACGTAAGACAATGTGGTTGACTGCCTTGTAAGCTACAAAGTGCTACATGAATGGTATCATCATGACCATTGTCGTTCTTGTAGCACATCCACCCTCATGACGATCTGCACTTGGCACAATGCTTGACAAGTTCCCAGTGGCCCTCGGACTTCCTTGGGAGCAACTAGAGGAGTGGTGGGAATGACCGAAGTTCCTAAACAGACAGGAATACAGGGCGTAGACATAGCCTGGGGCAGCAAGTTCTTTGAGGCATTTTGAGAGTGTGTGTTTGAAATGAGGTGATCGCCTTAGGAAAAGTCTGACCGGCTTTGGATGTTGATGGCCTCTGGCATCTTCTGAGTGCCCTCAAGACTTGGCAGTCTCTGTGTTGGTGTCTACAATTACACTGATTTCAAGTGGTAGTAGTTGAACTGAAAGAAGGAAGGAGGCTTCATTCAGATTGATTCATCTGCTCTCCGTGGGGCAGCAGCGGATTTGGCAGTAGTTGAAATAATAGGAAAGCCACGGGAGCACCGTCTTTCCTTCGCACTCCCTAGCGTGGAGATGCTGAATTCCGAAGGAGGAGCACCAGAGCCAGCAGTGGGGTTCCCTCTGGGAGCGGGACTGAGACTCAGGAACGGCCCTCCAGGAAGGTTGCTCTTCCCTGCTTGTCATTGGAAAGTCTGGTTGCTATTGTACACATTTATTTCCAGGTTTGAGGGGACTTTTTTTGGGGGTAAGAGTTGTCAGCACAAGGGCCGTCCCTGCTTTCATGTTTGGGGATGTCAGAAATGCCCATCCCAAACTAATTGGGTCAGCATGCGTGCTGTCTGTGATGAGTACTGTGGTTACTGCTTCTCTTTAGAAGGTTTGAGCAATACTGGTGTGGTACAAATACCACTGGATTCCAGAAAGCCTGACTTTGAAGGATTGGCTTATGGCTTGATTGGCTTATGGCACATATTTCTGAGCATGACTCATTGGGTTGCTACCTGCAAGGTCAGCAGTTCAAATCCACCAGCTGTGCCACCACGGATAGATGGGGCTTTCTGAAGATTCGCGGCCTTGGACACCCACAGGGAAGGGCAGTTTCACTCTGTCCTGTAGGTTCACCGTGAGTCAGAGTTGACTCCAGGGCAGTTGAATTGTGCATTGGTTTCTTGGCTCCACAGCAGTGGGTTTGTTTGCTTGTTTGCTTTCTAGCAATGCGTGTACTAACAGCTGTGCCAGCGGAGGGAGTCTCTGAAGGCTGGATTTCGTAAGCTGCTGAGTGTGGCTGACTATCAGGATAGCCGGTGTATAAAGGAAGGACCCCGGGGGGCGCAGTGGGAATAAGTTGGGCTGCTAATTGCAAAACCAGCAGGTTGAAATCAGAGTTCCTGGAGAGATCTATAGCTTCAGAAACCCACAGGAGCAGGTCCCCTGTGTCCTATTGGGTCCCGGTATGTCTGGGTCAACTGGATGGCAGTGAGTCTATGAAAGAGCCCCCACCCCCCAAAAAAACATTGTCACCAGCAGAAGACCTCAGAAATGTGTGGATGAGAGAGAGAGAGAGATCAACGGCCCCATGTGAAGTTGGCTGTCATCCTTAAGGTGTTGCTTCGGTTCGAATATGCACCATGAACATATTTTCTTTCTCTTCACTTTCCTAGAACACTAGGTTCAGTAAGGAGTTTCGTGACTTTGTCACAAAATGCCAATCATTAAAAGCCATAGAAGTCATCATGGGGATCATGGGGGTCACAGTTCCTTGATGCCCATTCAGCCCAGAAGGTTCCCCGAGACCTTCCCCACGTGAAGCTCATGGCTGGGTAATTTGTTGTGCCCGCCCCTCCTCCCCCCCCCCCTCCCAGTGAGTCTTCCGAAAGTATGTCCATATTCATGATTCCCCAGAAAGAGATCGCTTATGTCCGGGGCCTTTCTGTTCGATGAGGGGCCCCTGAAGCACAAAGCCGGGGCTCCAGGTGGTTCAGAGGTGAAGGCTACTACACAGTGTTGCTTCCTAGGGCAGACTGACTGAGGAGTTGGTAAACTCCATGCAGTGGGGCAGTCTCACCAGAGACAAAGTATCAGTTCCCTTCCTCCCACTGGGCCATTCTAGCAAGAATGTTGAGTTTAGAGAGCAGTCTTGGGAAGGGTGACAGATAAGGCAGGTCCCTTAGAAATCTCCCACCCCGTCAAACGCGGACATCTTGTGCTATAAAATTCCCTTTTCTGCAGACAGATTGGAGAGAGCCCCGTGGTAACAAGGTTTTGGTGCTAAGTCCCTGGGATAACAAGCGACCAAGTAGACGGCCTGGTGTCTTATGGGATTGGTTATTTCCCCGGGAGCCAGAGAGATGATTTTCCACTGGGAGAAGGGACACAATGTCAATAGATCTAAATGACATGAGAGGAGGCGCTGTCTGAAGTACAAATGTCCCCAAAGAGCCCTGAACATCAGCAATCTTGAAGTCCTACTTTTTATACGAGGAGCACTGGTGTTTGAGCATTTTCTGGGCCTCATAGGCTTCCTCTTTAATTCAGGCCATTTTAGACGAGCCCTAGGCCACATTGTGTGCAAACACAGAGATGTGATCCGAGCACTTAGCACACTACTACAACAGAAAAAACACACAAGAGGCAACCCAGAGAAGAGGATTTTTTTTTT